AGAAACGTATACAAGATGAATATAGATAAAATCCAACTTTATTTGTCAGAACAATCCATAATTAAACTTATAAAAACTCATTGAATGTTGTTTAAGTCAAAAAATATCGTAAATACGCGTATTCTCCAAAATAATTCGTCCTTGACCAAATGCCATGTTGACGTCATGACGAAAGTTGAAGACCGACGACGTCCTCGATTTGCTCTGGTTCGTTTAAAGATTTAGGGAGAATATGGGATCTGTAGGATGTAAATATATGAATTTGATGCTGAAAAGGCAAGAGCCCGAGGTACGTTTCTTTTCCCTATCACATTACGATACCAACTGAGTTGATATGGAACGTCGAGAAAATGACAGCATGATCAGCGATTTCAAAAATTCACACTCGTGATCCGACAGTGACATAAACATAATATTCCCGTCTGTCAGTCCTGTTATTCTCTTTTTTATTCATTCATTTTTTATTATAAGTTTTTTGTAATCATAATTTAGCTAAAACGGACTAGAAGTATGTTTTCATTGTTTTTACAACAGTCAAGAAAGTAGTTCTTGTTGAAAAATTCATCGATGTGTAAACTTTTCCTTGAATTTGTTCTCGTCCAATCAAAACACAGGGAATCGATAAATAAAATTAAGATTGGAATTATGGATTGATAATTGCTTGATCCGAAACTAATAGATCATACCAAGAGAGCTAGATTTTGTGCAAGCTGATTTACATTGGAAATCTTTTACCTGCATTCTAAAAAAAAAACATTTTTCAGGAAAACCAATGATTTTACTGATGCAAAATAATGCAGTATTTACTTTGTTTGCATGAAACAGATTATTCCATGTGATATACCGTTTCAACGTGTCCGTGTATCTTTTTTCTGAATTTCTATACTACTGGATCAGGCCATTTATATTCTACAAAAGGGTTGAATTGCTCTTTTCGCGCCAAATGTCACGAATAAGCGATCTTCGCGCCTTTTCTTGGATTGTTCTATTGAATGAATGGGGGTGCTTACTTCCATGGAATTTTACAATAAAGTTTGTTATTGTAACCTCCATCTTCTTATGATTCAGAAATTCTGTCTAAAAATTTTATCTTAATTATTCTTAAAACAACATATGAATCGTATGTATCAGAATATGGACATGCAAAACAAAAGATATGACTGCCGTCATGAGAAAAGGGCCTTATCTTTTGATGCACAATCCTCAGAAAACGACGTCAAAGTCGCGGTATTGTAAACACGGAAGTAATTTTGTTGACTGCATTTTGTGAACAAGAAATAAAATTGAATTTCAAAGTGTATCAAAAATTTGAAATTTGATGCGGACATTTTTAATAGGTATATGATATTATTTACTATTTAGTACGTAAATTTATTCATAATTTTGTTAAAGTATTTAACTTGATATATATACGGGGCATTGGACATATACATTGCTGTGGAACACAGGAACAGCGATTAAAACGATGTCTATGCATGACTTAATTAAAGCTGCTGCATATTTGTTTTCTGAGCAATTTACAAATGCTGAAATTTGAATTAATGATAAGAAGTTTTAATATTAAAACATATATTCCATATACATGTATTTTTTTTTCAGAGAGAGAGAAAAAGAAAGAGCGAGTGAGAGATCTTTGCACATATACAGTGCAGTAATCAGACTAATTACCGTTCTTATAAGCGCTACTTTTACATTTTGTATATCATAATTTGAAATGTATTTAGCCATTTTAATTTTAATCTATAATTAATTTTACTGATGTACCCCGATAGCCAGCCTTCGGTGAACTGTCGATTTTAAAGTGTGTAAAAGAAAAGGGAGGGGGTAAGTAGACAAGCCAAAAAAATCTCCGAATTAAAAGACCGGTTAAAGTTCAAGGTAAAAACAAAGTCCCTCTCTGATTGAAAAAAAATACTGGGACACCTACTACATCAACAATATTTTTTTAAAAATAAATTAACAGTAAGAGAACATGCTAAGGGAAAAGGGGGGGATACGGAGGATGGGGATGCCACGAAAATTTTGCTATAAAAAAAAATTGTTTCAAAAACACATTTAAAATTATTAAATAAATACATTCAAAGGAATTGAATGATAAAAATTACTATTGTTTTCTCAAAATTTTCCGATGAAATTATTGAATGAAATCCTACTCGATCATCGAACCTGTATTGCAATTTATCCTGCAACTACCCCTTGCATTGACCTAATAAAGGTAACCTACATGTAATAAACCAAAGCTTTATCCGGTCACTGCCCTAATAAAGCCTCGTGCATGTATTCCGACGTTCTAAAGGCATTGTGACGTCACGTATATTGCAATGTTTACGCCATGGCGTCATAGTTTCAACTGTAGAAATGTGCCTAAATCTGTCGGAAATAGCTTGTTTAGGACGTTCAAATGTAAGAAATATGTTGCAGGATAAACAAAATACATGATAATTGTCTTGAAATATAAGCGATATTTGGGCTTGGGTCGAAAACGTAAGAGGGCTCGGCAAGCCTCGCCCTCTATCACGTTTTCTTACCCTCGCCCAAATATCGCTTATATTTCAAGACAGTAACCATGTATTTTATATATGTTAAGAAATTAAATACAGCTAGTGTAGACATTTCCCAAAAGCATTATACCGTATGTTGGTGAAATTAACAATATTGCATCGACAGTGATATTATGAATGAGGATATTTTTAAACCAAAAGAAAAAAAATGATATAGATTACAGTAAGCGAAAAGACGTACGAATTTCTGGCTAATGTCAGGTAAATATGGGTACATGTATTAAGAGTACATTACTATAGATAGATCAAAAAGTATAAGTGACAAATGGTAATGGGTGTAATTTCCATAAGTTATGAAAATGTGCGTGAAATATATTTCACTGACTATTGAATTCATGATTTGAAATAAAAAAGTCACGTTCTGCGTTGAAATCTTCAAATCTGATACATGTATCAAAATACCCCGCATATCTCTATCGACATTAATTTCTTTAAGTTTTGTTAAAATCGAGATAAGACTTTACTAGTATATCATAATCCTACATGTAACATCACTCTACAGAAAGGAATTAATAAATAAACACAAATATTTCTACTTTAAAAAAAATATTGCCCATTACAGTCCATGCAAGTAGCAACGGGGGGAGCTACATTGAAACCCCCCCTTTTTTTTTTTAAAAAAAAAAAGGAAAAACACAGGTGTGCAGAACTGAAAAATATAAAATTATTTTTTTAAATGCTGAATAAAACGTCGTCTCTGTTTTTAGGTAACGGATGTAATTGTATATACAATGTAGATTCATTTTTTTATGATTATGATTGCTTTTTTTGAATAAACAATTAATTGTGAATTTTGATTACCAAACTTCATGAATCTCTAGCTGGATGCAAGAAACTACCACACATAGTTCCATTTTTCTATATTAAAATTACCAAAATTTGACATTTTGCCTTCGTGGTAGCCATAGCAGCAGTGTTTTCTTCATCAAAGTCCATGCCTATTGATACCGTATTTGGTAATGATGGGGAGTTGCAGAAGATTGATATATTTCAGAGACGCTCAACAGATTTACTTCATATTGGAATGAAACTAGTAATCTAAATAAAAATTCATTATTTTTTAAAATAATTCATTATTTATTTTGTTTGTAAAACTAAAAAACATATATCATATCTTATTACTCTGTAAACAATTAAACAAAACAACTTTTTTATTATATTCAGTGTATTTATATATATTTATATATGCAGGTTGACTTTTGACCTTTCAGTAGAATTACAACAAAGAAAAATACATTCCACAGTAGGGATCAATAAAATCGACAAATTAGACATTTTTAGTGTTATCATAAAAAAAAACAATCGGGAATGGAAATATTATTAAATAACTGATGTACATATGTACATCGCAGAAGAAATGAACTGTACATGTGATCCATGAAATAGGTTTTTGATAGAATGAGAATTTATGAATTAAAAAAAGCAATCAAACAAACAAATAAAAATAATTATTTATAAAAAGGACTATACATGCAAATGTTATATTACTATTGGGCATATATTTCAATTTTGTCTAAACCGAATTGAATAAGTATTTGTTTAAAAAAACCTCGAACAAACAAACAACAGAAAATGTATGCAAAATCTAATTACATGACAGTATGTACTTTTTCAATATATAGCTTCTCTTTGATCGAAACAGAGGATACTACCAGGTATTAAGTGGCCAATGCACTGTACACTGTATCACATATACGAGACGCACGAGGGTAGAGATGGAACTAAACCACCGAATAGTTTTTGTATGACTAATTAAGAACCACTAAATCACTGGCATAGAGAGTTTGTATATTCTTAAGTTGACGAGGATGCTTAAATGATAAGCAATTATAAAAAAAATGAAATTATGGTGAGCAATTGATGTACTTACATGTAGTTATTGTGTAGCCCTCTTATATATACATATAGTTGAAAAATGAAAAAAAATGAATATAAGCAACAGGGTACCTGAAGTTGAACAATCCAATCACTGCATGAAGGAAGGAAATGTTTGTTTACACTTAACATTAGGAATATACTCATTTGCATATCAACAAATAAAAATGTACATACATTATGACGTTATTGATTAAGATGCATGGATATCGCACTTACAAAATTAAATAATTGGTAATGAAACCCCGTTTACCTTATTTATTTTGGTAGTTAATAAATCGTACAATTACAAGGTATTCTAAAACTAAAACCAACTGTCATATCATTTTGACTGTATATAATCCTTCAAAAGTAGCAATTGATTTATAGAAGGTTTAGGATCCCCCGACAAAATGTACTAGATTGAAATAGAATAAATACTTCAGTGAAAAAAAAGATGTAGACAGTCACATGTTAACAACAGAACTAATACTTAAAACTCCTTTACATATTTCCAAATATATGCACTTGATTTAATATCAAAATTCGAATATGTTATAATCAACATATGACTTTCCCCTTAAATATCTGTACTGCATTTAATTTCAAAAGCATTTCTGGGTTTTTGATAACAGTGTAAAAGTTGTTTTGAGACATAATGAACTGTGATGTATGACATTAACTCGACAAAGGTATTGTGAATAAATGATTTAATAAAGTGACATGTGTTATATACAATTCCAACATTTAAATATTTGAAACATAGTGGCACAAGCGTCAGTTTTAACTATTTAACATTCAATAAAAATTCGGTAGTGTTAGGCATTTCGTTTATGATCCAAAATATATGGACACTGCACTGTTGTAAGCCTAAAAAGTTTCCAATTTTTTGACTTGAGTTTATCTATACATATGTAATCGACGAGCAGAATTTTCATGCAAGTCCTGAATATCTTAAAGTAATGTGCAGAACTATTTTTTCTGTAAGTATAATTTTTCTTTTCATGTTTCGGTATTCGCATGAATTAATTCTATGTTAAACATTCGACAAAAAAGAAAAAAAACGATCAGATACATGTATCTTCTCTTGTTAATGTATTGGTTGCATTAGTTAGTGAAACATACGAAGAATAGATTGTTACTTATTATCTTCCTTCTCTTTTTTTGAAATTTCTATCATGTAGCTCTCCTTTTTTACTTCCGAGCTTGGAATCAAAAATCCGCACATGTTAGCAAGAACATCACTTTTTACTTCTTGTGGGACAAAACTTGTTGTAGACAATTCTGTTAAAGATGGAACTCGCTTTAAATTAGATATCTTGGAGGAATACTCCATTATTTTGGCAGCATCATTATCAGTCTCCATTTTTTCATTTTCTTTTACAGTCAGCTGAATATCATGACGGCGTAAATGGATGGCTTTAAGAGATTTAGAAAGAACATTCAAGTCTTCCTTCTCCATTTGATTTGCAGTATTAAGAAGTGCTAATATTGACTTTTCTACCTCTAAGTGAAGTCTTTGTCCTTGTCTTTTAATATCATCCCTAACCTTCTCGTAACTTTTCTTCTTATTATCTATAGAAGACTGGAGGTTTGATGAGATCTTTTCATATGCCGGAGTAATGTATAGCTCATATTCTTTGTTCTCTCGCCTAAGACATGATTTATGCACTTCGCAGATGGCAGAAATTTCTTCGAGTTCGTGGTCAGCATGGTCTTTTAATGCAACGCATTTACTACATATTGAAATTTGACATTTTTTGCAGCGCAGTTCACATTTTTTATTTCCATGCAATTTACAACATGGAAATTTAATATGTCCCATTTCATTTTTGAATTTGTACCCTGTAATGTCATGAAGAGTTGAGGGGTCTGAAGAAACATGGAGACCAACACACGATCTGCAGAGATTTACTTCACATTTTTTACACACGAGTTCAACTGGATTTTTATACTTTCTTCCTGAACATAGATCACAATTAATAACTTCCTGTGCAGTTGTACTTTGTATCTCCTTTGAACCTAAAATTATGTTTATTTCAATTTATTGAGAAAGAAATTATTTTAATTTGTTTTAAAAAGGGAAATGGGCTGCTTTTTAGATTACGGTTCCTTAAAGTACATCTCTTAATAGTGTTTACTTTAATAACAGTCATTAATCTTCGAAAGATGATTTTTTTTTCTATTATGTTCCAATAAATAAATATGTTGTTTTTCGATTAATATGTATTGTTTAATTAACACATGCTTCAAGGGACGTTGTAGGTTTTCGCACGTTTACATCACATAGACACTTCTTTGAATTGAAAAAAAAATCAAAGTTGTAGCGCATAAAGATTTATATTTCAATTAGTAATTTTATCAGTCAATCATCATTTTTCAAAATGCACAATACAATGTATATATACAGGGTATGCATGTATAAGACTTGTACTGTCCCTGTAGTTCTAAGAATGTTTTTTTTTTTTAAATCAAAATGAAAAATAAAATTTCATAGAAACGTATCGGTATTTTGAATACACATATGATATAACTTGCACATTGTTGGTATACTTGAATGTGCCTAGACACAGATGTGAAATTGATAGTTTCTCAAATGTACGGTTTAATATCATGACATTTATGTTGCTATTATAGCATTTCACGCAGAAATATTAATAGTTAAAAAATTATTTTATCTAGAAATTATTGAATCTATGAATCACGGAAAGTGTTTAATTTAGCTGCAATAATTTAGCCCTCTGTGATCTTTTTATTTGATATTTTCTGGAGAGGGCTAAAATTTCACAACATCCTCGTACACTGTAGTTGTGCAAATATTTTTTTAGTAATACGAGCGTCTGCAGGCAAAATAAACTGTTTTTACATTCAACTTACTTAAAAGAAGACACCATATTTATTCAATACCAACAACATAACCCGTGAAATGCAAAAACCTCGTAAAAAAATCCTTGGTTACCAGTCACTCTACTTAGAAACCATGACAGTTTTTACATGATGTACCGAGACTTGAGCTTGAAATTCAGAATAACTTTATAAAGAAATAACGGAGTTATTAAATGATTGTGGTGTATAGCATCACTTAATATCCTTTTTTTATAAACCGCGACAATTTTGTCTAAAATGAGGTAATTTCTATAAAGACCCTACTTCGATCCCTAATCTCATTGGCTGTCCCAAAATTAAATCGATCAAGGTCAGTTAACATGGCGGATAAATTCAAGTTGCGATGTTGACATACGGGATAAATATTAACCAATATATTGATTGTTCTGAAAATTTTTCGCTTGATTTATATCTTTCTTAACGACATTTTTAGATATCACCTAGGAAACGTTATATAAATCCCATTTAATGATAATTTAAGCCAAAATCTGTGCTGGGGGAATCACTTCCGCACTTACACCATTACGAAGATCTTAACGAGTTGTAGTCCCCATACATAAAAGGGGAAAGGGCTACGTTCTTGTAGCTATGTTTGAGTGTCACATAGATATCTTTGCACTTTTACAAATAAAGATTTTATCCATGAGATACTGAAAGGAAAAAAAAACGCATGGTAAACTTTTGAATTAAATTTCTGTGTGACTTTGGCTGATAATTCATGAGTTATTGAAATTGATATGTCGATACCCTACAGAAATTAAAATAAAAATTCTCAACGCCTTCCTTGCGCAACAGTAACAACCTTGATTCTCCTAGCTGTGCATTGAGTTCTTCAGAGCATGTATATTTCTCATAGAATTAGGTCATAGTCTAAATTGTAATTTTGCCATCCAAACTTTCCAAAGCTGCTTATTTTTTATTGTACAAAATACCAAGTGTTTATTTTTTCCATAAAATGCACAAAACTCGGTCCACTAAATTACTTTCACACAATTTATCGCAATCAACCTATCAAATACTCTCAAATAACGAAAAAATAATTTTGCAGTTTTACCATCTGGGCATTTGTCAGCCATATTGAATTTTCGGTGTAATTCCCTACATATGCCCTACACAAGGTGTAGATGGTGTACACTTAAAGTGTATATTTTTGCACTTAATTAAGGAAAATTGTAGACTGGGCCAGGTGAAAGGTGTAGACAAATCAAGCGCGACCTATTATTCAACTGTTCCAACGGAAGTCTTAATGGCTGAGAGTTGTTGTAACATTATAAAGCCAACATATACCCCTGACCAATGAATCCCATGAATTTTAGATAAAAGATAGAATTAACAGAATCCAGCTGATTTGGTACACGTGAATGTTTGTAAGCAAGTCTCGTAAAAACTGGCTACATTTCCCCAGTGTGAACATGCTAAAAACATAACGCATATGACGCGTACGTGCGCGTGTGAGAGAAAATCGACATAAAGTTACAATGCTCGCAGACCACATAGAGCAGAGTTTCTGTCAGTACTAAAGTGAAAATTATGAGTATGATTGTGTGCTGCATAAATATCGGTTTCAGTGATAATGCCTCAAAGATAACGGAGGTGGCATAATGAAAAACTTTGTCTTGATGTGACGTTGTTACGCGTCAACGTCACCGTGATGGTTGGTTTGAAACCTATTTAGTTTTATTTTTTTTAAAACTTCATAGCAACATGTTGTTGCCTTTTTATTCACTTTATCAATTAAATTACTAGACCCAATATTACTTCCGTCACCAATACCATGATTTTTTGGAAAATTATTATACTGACTGTAAATATGCTAAAACGATGTCGATAACTCTAATGCATCATTTGGCACTACAAATTGTGGTCACAAAAGTGTCTTCATCAACATGCGCATGTTTTTGGCTTTCTCACTTTACCCAGTTATGTATTTATTTATATGACTTATTTTACGATATGTATCGTAATATAAGTCATATAAACAAATATTTTTTTTGATTGCTTCATCAGAACCCCGAAAGGAATCCTTTCTAAAACGACCAAATCAAAACTATTCTTACTAAGATTTTTAAAACGAAATATAAGTATACTACTGTTAGTATCACTCAGTTTAAAAAAAAACTCATTGTCAACGAAGACTTTAAAAAAAAAACCATCGTAAAGAAAGACACAATTGCTATCTTATTTATAATGAATCTATGTCAAACCTTACTTGTTCGGCTTAGGTCAAATTGTGGTGTTTGGAAACGTTCCTTACATTCAGGACAAAATCTGCGGTTTGGCGTCAGTACCATCCCACATCGTTGACAAACATTACTTCTTGTTTTGATACTTTCAGATTTTGATGATGAAATGTATGTTGGTTCTCCACATTCAACACAAAATTTGCTGTTTACTCTCACAAAATTTCCACATCGTTGACATTTTATGTTGGGAGAATCTTGCATATTGTTGACCGCTTCACAAAGATTTCTAGTCAAGGTAGTGCGCTTTCCGGGTTCTAAAAACTTTAAGAACTTAATGATTGAAAAAACCATATATCATATATTTGATTAACACAGGTTTTTAACGAATCAATGCATTTTCATAATATCGTCGATGAAATTCTGCCCTAACACCAAAGCCCCTGACTTAGGGGCTGTAAAATTCACAATTTTGGACGAGGCACCAGAACTATTACAATTTGAAAGATAATCACTCTAATATGCAAGAACGGAGAAGATTTTCAAGGAATGCGCTTTCACTCTATAATCATTAGAGCCATAACCTTCGAGCCAATATCCATGAAATTCAAATATTTTAGAAAACAACCTTCCTCATCATAACTATGCCTTGGGTTTGTTTGCATGATACCAAGGAGCAGAGGAGATTTTCAAAACATGGGTACATTTTCACTTTATAATCAAAAGAACCCCACCCTTACACCAAAACCCCTGACCAAGGGGCCGTGAAAATTACATTTATTTAAGAGGCGACCTTCCTCATCATAATTATGCATAAAGTTCAATGGCTTCATATGCAGGGAGCAGAGATGAAGAATTCCAAATACTGCATTATCAGAATAAAATCAATAGAGCCCTTCCCTAAGACAGGAACCCCTGACCCAGGACCGACATTCACATGAAACTCGCCCTAACACTATACCCCCCACGCAGGGGCCATAAATTCAAAAGAAAAATATCCTCATCAGAACTATGCATTTCGTTTGTTTGAATAATACTCAGGAGCAGAAAAGAAGTTTTCAAAGCATTAGTTGTAATTGATTATCACTATTTAATCAATAGAGCCCCGCCTTAACAACAAAACCCCTAGCCCTGAGACCATGATGAATTTTAGAATTTTGGTAAAGGGCTGAATGCTTATACGAATCATGCCTAATGTCCAGGTGCAAAGAAGAAATTTTTAAAAAGATTTTATTAACTTTAGTGGTTTTTGGCCCACTTTCAACACATGTTGGTATACATTTGTAGCATCTATGATTAAAAAGGACCAACATTGTTAATTTCAGGATCACTGATCCCCTGAAGCCCAAGGGACAAGACTAAACCACCAAATTTATTTTAATCTTTAAAAGTCTTCTTCTTCACTCCTAATAATAATAATAATATTAATAATAATAATGATGATGATGTTTAATAATGATAGTCAAGTAGTCAAGTCGCTCGCATGGCGCAGTGAATAGAGCGTCTACTCTAGAGTCGCGAATTCAGGAGTTGATCCTTACGTCGTGGGTTATTTGGACGTGGGGACCGGTCTTTCAGATGAGACTGTATTAACCGAGGTCCCGTGTCGCAGTAAGTACTACCATGAAAAAAAGTTCCCTCCCTTGATTAATTGCCCTGAGTGCCGAGTATAGAAAAAATGCAGCTCTTCACTGGCAAGTTGTGGCGTCTCCATATGAGTGAAATCTTTCACATAGGAACTTTTGACAATATGGAGTCAATCAATTAATCAAGCAGTCAAACTGTTGGCATGATTGTAATCAGCAGTGAGCTTTCTACCAAAATAGCGAAGTTCATGGCCCCAAGTTTAATGGTTCTGGTGCTAGTGTGGGGCTATATACATGAAGATCATTTCGTGAAAGTGCATTATTTCTTTGAAAGTCTTCTCTGCTCCTGGGTATTAAACAAATTAAGTACAAAGTCATAATGGCCAAGAGGGCCTCTTCCAATACTGTGATTGTTATTGTTCCTGGGCTAGGGGTTCAGGAGTTACATGTAGGACGTTCTTTATTAATTATTTAGTGAAATATATTCATTCTAAAAGAAAATTCTCCTCTGTTCCTGCCCCTTAGGAATCCGGGTTAGAATATAGGTTCTCAGTACCCCCTTGCTTGTCATAAAAGGCGACTAAATGGGGCAGTCCTTCGGATGAAACCGTAAAAACCGAGGCCCCGTGTCACAGCAGGTGTGCACGATAAAGATCCCTCCATGCTCAAAGGCCGTAAGTGCCGAGTAAGGCCTAAATTTGCAGCCCTTCACCGGCAATGGTAACGTCTCCATATCAGTGAAATATTCTGGAGAGGGACGTTAAACAGTATACAATCAATCAATCAATCAATCATCTGTTCCTGGGTATTAAAATAAATTTAGTATTTGGTTATCATGAGCAAGAGTGACTTTTCCAAAATTGTGAATTTTATGGACCCGAGGTTCTGGCGTAGGGAGGAGCTCTATTGATTATACAGCGAAAATACACTAATTCTTTGAAACTTCACTCCCCCAGAGTATTAAACAAATTTACTAAATACATTGTTTTGATTAGCATGGTCGCCTTTTCCAAAATTGTAATTGTAAAATTCATCGTCCCTTGCAATTAGTCATTGGTTCTAGTTTAAAGGGGTATTAATTACATAGTGAAATTACATCAATTCCCTGAAAATCTTCATCGCTCTTGTGTTTTAAATTAACTGAGTATGAATATGTATAAGAGTACCTGTAATTAGATATAAGAAACTTTGTGGATGTCAAAAAATGGAAAGTCTATACAAAATGGGTTGGAAAAAGTGTTAAGAACCTAGTGCCGGAAAATGGAAAAAATCAAATGTTTCAATGAAGTAAAAGATGTACTTGGAACTAATTTTTTTTTAACATTTTTTCCTCGGATTCAAAAAATAACCCCAAAAATTAAAAAGCAATATATATATAATGCAAAATTTTTGTTTCATATCTTGAAAAAGAAGGAGTATATAGCCCCAACTTCAACTTGCTAAAAAAAAAGAAGAAAAGTTGGTAACTCTACTGGATAAAAAGAAATTCTATTTCTCACCAGATAGATATTTTTAGAGGTGGTTTTAATTGATTTAAAGCAAAGGGGAATAAATCTTCAAGGAAGGTTCAAGGTCAAATATTAGGACATATTCTACTCTTTCATATTAATACCTAAACATGAAGATTTAATCCCTGTTGAGATTCTGCTAGGCTAGATATTTGGACTGACGCCGTCGCAGAATCCCTTGACGACTACTAATAATTCATGTATGGAAATTAAGTCCCAACTTCGGTCGACTATAGCAAGAATTATTCACCTTGACCACACTGCCGTTCGCTTCAATTAAGTCATTTAGTTGTTTATTTGACTCTCTGTCACTATTATTTCTACATAGCTTACCGTTTAGGCATGTAAATCACAACAAAAAAATATTCACTGAAATCTCAGTTCAAAATATGGCTTCCGTGACGAAATTGTTTACCTATAGTCTGTTTTTACCCTAAGTGTTATTCAATAGTCACATTATACTTGGTTCAGAATTACATAGGGTAAAAACAGACTATAGGGACTCTTGTATTCGAGGAGGTAACGACTTTCGTCACGGAAGCCATATAAATGACAATCATGATGACGTGCATATTAATGTGGACATACCAAGCTTTCTAAAAGTCACCACCAATAAGAGGAGCTTTACTGTGAACTTTGACCCAGAAAAATATGAAATTATTTTTTCATATTTGCAACAGGAATTGTTATGTGAGAAAACTACTAAGGGAGATGGCCATATTTTTAAGACTAGTTGTAGATCTGTTACAGCTACAATTTACAGAAGTACCTCGGTACTCCATATTCAGGGGAGTACAGCATCATCATGGTGCGAGAAATTCATTTAGGAAATAAGTGTTTACGCATGTGACATAAATGAAACAAATATCATTATTTCCCAACCGCCGCCACAAATGGCATCTACGCCAAGGAGGAACCTATCTATGTAATGAAACTAAAGAATGCAGCAGATGCTGTAATTCTGCCTTACGCGTGGAGGAACTTTCATCAATTGTTCAACGCTTAACGCAGGAAATCGAGTCGTTAAAAAAGGAACTGAGTGAAAATGCAAATAAACGTGTAACCAGTTCAAGTACTCAGACAACCTGTACAGTCCTCAAACATAAAGGCAATTGTACAAATGATCTGCCAAAGGCTTCTAACAATGTCACTTCTAGACATGTACAGTGTAATGAAGTTATACCAGAAGTATCTATGAAAGAAAGCTCTACAAACACAGAACCACAACAACCTGTGCACCGGAAACTAGGAAACAGTTCCGTCCAGAAACAACGTAATTCCACATCTAGCAACCAGCAGAAAACTACACTCCTGATCGGAAGTTCAATTCTGCAACGTATTAAAACCCGTGGGTTATGTTCAAATGTTAGTGTGAGTACCAACAGAGGAGCCAGCATTTCTTATATTCGTAAGAAATTGCAGCAATACGATGTGTCTTCTCTAGAAAATGTCATAATTCAGGCTGGAGGAAATGATGCCTCAAATAAACGGAATATGGAAGCAGTAGAAAATGACTTTTCCGAGATAATAATGGATCTGAAGAAGAGGAATTCAAATATTAATGTTTTCATTTGTGAAGTCATGCCTCGAAAAGATGCATTGATCATTGATGTGAATGAAGCTATCCGTTTTGTGTGCGAAGAGTATGGTGCGACAGTGATTAAATCAAGTCAAATTTTCAAAGCCTGGAATTCCCCTTTATAATGTACTGGAAGGACGGTATACATTTATCTGACCAAGGAACCGCCTCTCTGTTGAAACTATACAATAAGCATGTCCCAGTTCTGAAGCAACATCAAGTACCGGCTCCCTCCGCATCGATGAAATATACGTGCTGCTACTTCTGTGGAGAACAAGGCCATTCATCCCGGAATTGTAGACATGGGAGCAAAGTAGACTGTTGGCAGTGTGGGGAACCTGGCCACAAACAAAAGTTCTGTCCGTACTAGAATAGGGGCAACGAATGTCTGGCCGAATATACAGAGAGTTTTTCATTAAGTCTGCAAAATAACTTTTTACCTCTCGAAACTTTATGTTCAGAATGTAACAAAAATTCATGTAAATGTATCTTAAAAAATTCTCAAATACAATTTTCATCTGCCAAAAATATGCATTATCTCAAAACTAAGCAAAAATCTAATTCAAAACAGGAGATTAACAAAAGCCCAAGCCCTGAAAGTCTAAATTCTACCAAAGCAATAAACT